CGGCAGAGCCTCTCTCTGGCTTGGGACGGCAGCACCGCCGCCCCTACTGGCATCGCCCGCCACGGCGTCACCAGGCTCCTTCCTCTTCAACTCCATCACTACGCTCATCAGCTGCGATAACTGGCCCTCCAGCCTCGCAATCACCGGATCCTCGGCGTGTTGCTGTTGCGTGGCTGAGGTCTCTTCCCCCAGCCCTTCGACGGAACCGCTGTCCGACGCAGGCATGACCCGATGCGGCTATCCCTCGAGGGACAATCAACTCTAGAGTGTTTGTCGGCCGTACTCCGCGTACTTATCGGGTATTGTTTGTGTAGTGTATTAACTTCAGACGGTGAGGCAACGCCCGTACCCAGGGCGCTGTCGTGCTCAGAAAGGAGGAGTGGCAGCAGGGCTGCTGCACACAACAAAAGGGGGCCCCGGTGCATCATCACCGTACCCCTACCTAAAAGGTTCTACACCATCTGCGTTACACTTGTACGTACGGCTAACATATCCAAACCATGTCCGTAGGCCCACGAACACCCATTGCGGTCGTCGTGCTACGGGTGACTGCTGTGCGCATCATGCAATGCACGCTGTAGGTGTGTGCTACAGCGGTGCTATCACGGGTCGGCCAACGAGAAGAATATTGTTATAAGGCGCCCAAACCGCATAAAAATGCTGACGGATTTGGATGGATCGATATAGACGGTGTTGCCAGTTGAGTGCACCAGACCGCGCTGTGCTGCTGCTGCTACTGCTGCTGCTGCTGCGTATGAGGTTAGGGTTATGCAGTATACACGCATCATCACGGGACATACGCGACAAAATTAACCAGGCTGCGTGCTGTCAACTACTACTTGTTATTCATCATGCGGGTTGTCATTTTCCACGAGATTTCACCCTCGACTTAAGTTTTGGAAAACGACACAACAGGGTGTACCCTGGTCGAAAAGCGACACACCTGGGTACACAGTCATTAACAGCAGTAAATGCACTCATATCATTGGTCAGCGCCCAATTTCACCCCGGTGCGTCCGAAACGGCGCAGGGTTTACCCTGCCGTGACTACTTTTCTCAACAACTGTACCCTGTTTTCTGAAATGTAACCTGACCTGACGGGAAATGAGATGAGACCCTTTCATCAATCATTTCCCCCGCAGGAATCTTCCCAACTCCTTTTCCCCTCCAACCACGGGATACCAAAAGGCGAATCTTCGCGCCGAATAACAAACATGGCAACGGGGCAGGAATCAGTTTCCGCCCCCGCGAAACAACACCAACCACCAACTCTTCTGCCCTAAATCAACAATGGCCGGGCAACACCCCAGCACAAATGTTCCGTTTGGAAACATGGACACACGCGTACAATACCCCGTGGACTACTGCTTGCTTCAGTCTATATGCGAGATGCACGGGTCACGCTATGAAAGCGAGACCGATCCAGCATGGTTGACATGCATATATGCATGTATGTCGTTGTCTAGTAGCTTGTCCGACGATGACATTCCTACAAATAATGTACCTACTTACGAAAAATAAGGAAAACGGGCTAAGAAACACGGCTCAATCTCGGCCACAACATTGAAAACGTCCCAATAAGAAACATGATGATGCGATACCCACAAGACATACGAAACAAGGAGTAGCTGGAGGAGCGTGCCCAATAAGAAACGTCCCACTTTGCACTCCTCCCATGTTCCCAACCCCCTACCTAGCTACCGGAACAGTGAATTTTTTCTAGGAGGAAGAGAGAGTGGTTACATCACCACGCCAATGGCCACAACGAGCTTTCTTTCTCCTTAAACGGCATGATGACCATTTGTTGTGTTGTATTCTCCAGCCAAAAAAGAAAACATACGAAGTGAAAAAAAAGAGGATTGGGAGGATGTGATGTTCCAAAGGAATAAGAAATATCTTGTAAGAAAACGGACGACTTCGGCTGGTCCTTGGACCCAAAATAACGGATTGAGGCTCGACCCGAATTTGACGTTTCTTGTCTGTGGGCTCGTACTGTATATTATTGTAGAAGCCGAAAGCAAACCATTAGACTAGTCAGCAACCATTAGACTAGTCAGCACTGACTAGTCAAGGGTTTGATTTCGGCATCTATCTATAAAAAACGTTATTCGTGGGGTTCGTGAGCCCCGGAACTTTCACTTCCGAGGAGGGTGACTCCCCTTGCCAGCGCTACTATCCGTCCAAGCTTTGTTTCGCTTCATATCACTCGCCACCCACATCCTGCAGAATGTTCCAGGGTCTCAGACGAGTCAATCTGTCACCCATACTCTGGCCGAGAGTATCCAGTGTCTCAGGAAAAAATAAACTTCAAAGTGTCCAGCCTGGGGCTCGAACCCACGACTATGTTTTTTGTAGACTGCGAAACGAAACCATGGACTTTAAGACTGTAAAAGATAGGAAACTATACGTGCCATGACAAGACGTGTTACATGGTTACAGTAGTAGATATCCCTGTTTAGTGCCGGGGTGTGCGCAAAATACTTCGGACGCCGGCACTGTTGCGTGGAGTCCCTGAATAGGCACTATTCGGGGTCATAAAATTCCTCACTAGTGCCCTACCGGCACTACCTATTTGACGAACTGTTTGATTTCAGGGTGTAAGGCTTAGGCTTTCTTCCCTTTGTGGGCCCAATAGGGCACCGCGTGATGAACCGTAAATGAACGGTAAACGGTGCATTTATTTATGGCTTGGGTGGCATGGGCCGAATTTGTCATGATACGTGTGAATCCGACCCAGTCGATTACAGTACACAGATTTTTTGCTGCGGCAAGTTAACTGGGCGGGACAGAAACATACTTTCATGGCCTGAAATGTCGCGTAAACCCTTCACATGATTATCATCTCTTGCGGAAAACAGCGAAGCTCCAATGCATAGACTACTTCTTACTTGAACTGAAGCAGAATCTCACCTCTCCTTGCGCTCCTTCGATGTAGCGAGAGCAGGGAAAAACGTTTGTGTGCGTATGTGATAATAGCACCGATCGGCCAACACACATAAGGGGGGCCTGAGAACGGATAACGCCGGATTGTGGTATTTTCGTCACACGTAAGACTTCAGGGGTAAATGACGCGTAACACGGACGGACATAAGGCCCTAAAGGAAGGCCGCATGAACTTGAACAACTACTGTGAGCGATTCCCAACCCTTTCGTATCCAGGCGCCGTTGAAAGCTCCTCCCAGGGAACACATCTTCTGCAAAATGAAAAAATTCCGACCTTTTTGGGTTTCCACCGTTGAAAATCTGGCAATCAAGCCATGGTGGTTTCGCGGAAGGGGCGGAGCCCTCGTGCCTGACGTTATTGTGCCTACGACTTTGCCGCAGACAGTACTTGGGTTGCAAACCCTCATTTCAACAATGGAGGACAGTCAATCAATGTGCCTCAATTCAAGCAGTCTTGCATCCTAGACACTTTCGTCAGGCACGGTGCCTGCGCCATTCGCGCGGCATAACATTATTATTATGATATGGTGGAAATCCTATAAATTCACGCGTTTCGGGAATTTTCCAGAGGGGGGTCTGCTCAGGTCTGCCGGTAGAGAGGAGAGCCTTTATCGAGTTCCCAATCAATATCGTCCTAGCTGGGTAATGAATACTTGAAGTAAGCGCGACGCTGGGCGAGGCAGTAGCTGCTGGACGTTAAACATGTTTCACGAACGTTTGAGGCAGACTTCTCCTTCGTGTACCTACGCGGTCACTGGATACCAGCGCGAAAGTTATCCAGTAACTCACCTCGAAACATGCTCCTGTTCGTGAACGCTGACAACACGTGACCTGAGCTCAATCTCCTCATTCTACTCTCCTCTCTGCCTGCCTGTGCCGTCTCTCGAGCTGGCGTTTTGAGACCGAAACTTGGTTAGATATGGCTCAGGTTGTTGACGAACGAACGGCATCTAAACGATCGTACACAGATAGCGCCCGCGTTTAAGAAACGTGATTCGGGCCCAACATCAGATTCTTGTTGTGGGCTGAATATTGAGTGTACGTCGTTCATTCTCTTACGCCAAGTTTAATATTTTTTGTTCTGCCAAATAATAATGCTATATTTCATTTAGCTGGCAGTGCCATGTTTTCGCGGCTTGCTCGTGCAACGTGCTAAATAAATGAATGTCTCGCCTCACGTTCTCAACCCCGATTGTTACCACCGACGGGTGAACATACTAAGGCCATACCCGTAGAAGAAGCGAAATATATCCAGCTGTGACGTCTCGCTGTCTCTACAATACAAGGTCCTGGTACCCCCTCCATGAGTGAGGGCTAACACTAACGCCCTGCTGTGGGAGGGGGTGGGTGCACATGGGAATGGGGGAAAGAGAGAGAGAGGAGCATGGGGTGTTTCGTATCGACAAACTCCCCAGTCACCCCTCGTTTCTCACGTAGTGTGGCCCAGATTGAGCTATTACTGAGGGACTGCGTGGGAGGGACTCTTATGCTGGAATGCTGCGCGTGTTTTGTTCAGGCGACTGGTCAACCATGGTGCATGTCCCAGTTGTCAGTTGCAAACATTTGCGTTGAGCTGGAAGATTAAGAGTCCGTGTTAGAGGAGTTTTTTTCGTTAGACGGGACAACGGCTCCAGCGGAGAAAATGGCCAATGGAAGCGCCCATTTCCCTTACATTTCAGAAAAACAGCGTGAAATTGCCAAATTTTGCAGGAATAAGTGCCTCCGGCAGTGCGTACCCTAGTTTTTTATTTCAGGGTAGGGTGAAAGTAGGCGTCAACCAATCAGGTAGACTCATTTCACGCAAACTACTACACGCATGTACCCGGCTGAATCGCTTTTTGACCCCCGTTTGCCTTGGTTTGCCCGAATTGTTTCTCTGTCTTTCCCAGCGTCTCTCTTCCTGTCCTTTCATGCCCAATCTTTCTTGAGAAGTCCATCTGACTGCTGCATTCTTCGCCCCCCCCTGATCGACCATGTGATTTTCTTCCACTGCAGGGCACACTGGGGAAGAGTGGTTGCGGTTGAGGTACACTTGCACAAGATAAAAATAATTCTACATGGTTCGGCAAAGAGGCAGCACCAGCTTTGCCGTCTATATCTTGCTGTTGTGCCCCCTTCTTCATGGTGGCGCGGCACAGTACGACACCTGCACCAACGGTGCGATTGCCGACATCGGCAATGGCCGTTGTGACGCGGAGCTGAATGTCCCTTCCTGTGGCTACGATGGGGGTGACTGTTGCTCCTGCACCTGTGTCGACGGGCCTCTCTATTGGTGCTCTGAGGGGACGTTCGATTGCCTGTACCCAGACTGCGGTGATAACCCAGCATCCGACTTAGAGTTCTTCGAGACCCAGGACAACACCACAAAGTGCAACATGTTCCAGAACTATCCGGAGTGCAATACGCTCTGGTCCGATTGTTGCGAAATGGACTGCGGGGGAGACTACTACTGCGACACTTACCGCTTCGATTGCTCCGACTCAACATGCCTCTCACAGACCGTCGTTGCTGAAAATCCCGACTGCGCCGGCGATTGGTTGACGATTGGTGACGAGTTTTGCGACAGCGAGAACAACAATCCTGAGTGTGCATACGACGGTGGGGATTGCTGTGCGGATACCTGCCCACTTTCCATTGATTCTGCTTGCGGCTTTGACGGGTTTGCCGACTACAGCGGCTTCGACTGTCTGGACCCAGCCTTCTTCGACCCCACTGTTGTCGCCGAGTTCCCCGAGTGTACCGGAAGCTGGTCCATGATTGGCGACGGACAATGCCAGGAGGAAAATAACAACCCCGCTTGCGGATACGACGGGGGAGATGTGAGTGTCTTCGATTGCAAAAGTAGACCGTGCGTCCCGCTTATCCAGGAGCGAAACTTGTGGTGGATGGAGGTATCAGCTTGGTCTATACTCCACACAACTTATGTAGGTCAACAACACAGGTAGGTGGCTCCTTGGGTGAGTAGGAGCGCATTGCAGCAGCAGTAGCAGGAACGCCACAAGTCCCCTGATCCGTACTGCAGTGACCGATGAACCCTAACACCCCCCCTGCCAACCCTTCTCCCCCTTCTTTTCCTTGCCCGTCCTGATTGAACCCTGTATGGTTCGTGTGAAAGTGCTGCATATGTTCCTGCAGCGGCACTCTCTGCGGAGGCCTCGCCGATTGCTTGGATCCCAGTGCTGGCGACGAGTTTTACGAGTGCAGTCCACCATCGCCCGAGGCCCTGCCCTGCTCCGCGGAGGTGCAGCAGACGTGGGTGGTGGACGAACAGGAGGAGGCGCACGCTCTGGCAGCAGCCGTCAACTGCTCCGGGGGTTCGTTCGAGGTGGAGTGGAGTGGAACTGTGGTCATGGAGATGCCAATCGTGGTCGGGGCTGGTACCGTTCTGACGATAACGGGTGCCGGCTCGAGTACTGTTGGCGACGACGACTCCGGCGCCGTCATACATGGAAATGAAGGGACGAGACTCTTCACCGTTGTCGACGCTGCCCTGTACCTGAGCAATATCACCATCGCCTTTGGAAGTAGCACGGTGGGTGGCGCCATAGCTGCGGCAGGGTCCACCTTGACCCTCGTCGAGACGATGTTTATTGCGAATACGGCTACGGACCATGGGGGCGCCATTTACTTGTCCGAAGGCTCCAGCATGTCCTGTACCGGGGGAACATTTGCCTACAACTTCGCAGGCGCAAGTGGAGGCGGCGTGTTTGTCACCGGTAACTGCGTCGTTTCGTGCGGTGGGTTGTGGTTCAGCAACGAGGCTGGCCACAGTGCAGGTGCCATGATGGTCAACGATGGTTCCAGCCTATCTTGGGCCGAAGAAGTGGACTTGGCTTCCAACACAGCCGGGTACTGGGGAGGCGCCGTTTACGCACTCGGCGATTCGAGCGTATCGTGGAACGCGTCCACTCTGTTCTACAACAACAGCGCCAACTACTTTGGTGGTGCTGTGGCCGCAGGCAACAGCTCGAGCGTTTCCTGGACCGGCGAAACAACGTTCGATTCCAATAGCGCAGGTCAAGGCGGAGCTCTGCTGGTCTACGATGGCTCGAGTGCCTCTTGGAGTGACACCGCGGCGTTGTTTCAGAACAACACGGCGTCCAGCGGTGGTGCTGCGTTCGTCGACGAAAGCTCAGCCGTGTCCTGCTCAGGAGAGGCGGACAGCTGGTTTCACGGGAACACGGCTTACTACGGTGGGGCTTTGATAGTGCGGTCGGGTTCCAGCGTTTCCTTCGCTGGCAACTTTTCAACGTTGGACAACGGGGCGTACTATGGTGCCGCTGTGTTTTCTTCCGATTCCAGTGTGTCGTGGACAGAGGCGGCATGGTTCCGGGAGAACTGGGCGTATCACGGAGGTGCTTTGTACGCGGTGGAGTCCAGTGTTTCCTGGACCGCGAGCTCGATTGAGGGCAACTGGGCCATCACGGGAGGTGCCGTGTACGCTGTTGAAAGCGATGTGTCCTGGAGTGGGCCGACACTGTTTTACAACAATTCCGTAATTGGCAGGATTGGTCGAGGAGGTGGCCTACTTGCGATCGGGTCTAACGTTTCCTGGAGCGGGGCAACAGATTTCATCTATAATAATTGCCAAGGGGACACCACCGATGCCCTCGCTGGTTGCGCTATAGCAGCGACTGACGGCGCTAGCGTGTCGTGGAGTGGAGGAGCGACGCATTTCACAATGAACTTTGGAGTTAGCCTGGTTTCACTGGGTGGTGCTATGGAAGTGGATGGCTCGGAAGTGTCTTGGAGCGGAGACACTGAGTTCGACACCAATTTTGTGGGGTTCGGAGGCGGCGCCATTTCAGCGACAGAGGGTGCTCGCGTATCCTGGGGGGAAGGCACCACGACATTTCTCGGCAACTTCGCTTCTTATCGTGCCGGGGCATTTGATTGCATTGATTCTTACATCTCTTGGAGCGGAACTACGGAATTTATCGGCAACAGCGCTCTGTTTCTGGTTAATAGTACTCTGGGCGGAGAAGGAGGAGCTGCCTCTGTTTTGAGTTGTAACGTGAGCTGGACAGGGGAAACCATTTTCACGTCGAACGTGGCGCAATCTGAGGGCGGGGGGATCACAGCATCTTCGGGTAACGACGGTATCCTATCTAACATCACGATGAACGCCACCACCATCTTTTTCAACAACACAGCCGCAACCAACGGGGGCGCGATCGTGCTGTTTGAAGACGCTGCCTTGAACACCAGCTTCAACGTGGATATTAGCTTTGTTGGCAATTCTGCTGGAGTCGCGGGAGGAGCAATCTTCTTGTCAGGCGTCGATACCGGCCCGATCTTCACTGAGGTGAACTTTACCTCTAACGTGGCTGAGATCGGAGGCGCTGTGTCGTTGTTCGGGTGCGGGATTGAGCCGTCCGGCGGCGACAACCCTACCACTTTCGACCGATGCCGATTTGTCGACAACCAGGGAGCGTCAACAGGTGGAGCCATAGAGAGCGCGGCTGGAAAAGACGCTTTTAACGGCAGCATTTTCGAGGGCAACTCCGCAGGAACAGGTGGGGCTCTAAGGCTAGCAGGTGCGGCATATTTCTTCAACTGCTCGTTCGTGGGAAACACGGCTGACGAAGGAGAGGGGGCGGCCGTGTCTAACATCGGCTACATTTCGGCAGTGGAAAGCAACTTTTTCTCTGGCAACAGATTCGACTGCCGCTCGAGCATGTACTTGGACTTCATTCAGGTGCGGACTTGCTCTATGCGTCTCAAGACACTTTGACATCCGAAACGTACCGTGTATAACTTGACCCTGCCTTGGCGTGTCCGCCCTCAGCAATATCATTCCCTTCTTTGTCTTACTCGGGACACCGTGCAACTACAAGTACGAGGGCACCGTCGGCTGCGGGTTGAGCGCTTGTTTTTCGAGAGCACGGGGGCAGGTTTCGAAACGACAAGAGCAGTCCCTGGTCCCTCCGGGAAGCAGGGCTTTGGAAAGCTCGACGAGTTGTCCGAAAATAAATCTATTTATTTTCCGGAAACAAAACGGTTACGATTTACTTTTGCTTGAGAGGGTACACGATGTTGTTTTGAAGTACCCGTCGTACCCTTCAGCTGTAGAGGTGCACAAAGATAGCTGCTCCCACTTTGCGGGAACTCGTCGGACGTGTTCCAATACCGGCGTGTAGTCGGAGGGAAATGAAACTGCTATTGAGAAAAACAAAGGTGGGGGTGGAGGCGAGCAGCATTCTTCTGTGATCAAAAACCATATCAAATCGGTGTTGTTGTACATTCCGAAACCCACCGACTTTGGAAGAAAAACAATGGAGCACCATTCCGGGAAAACGCATTCTTGCTGTTGGCTGAACAATGAACGTTCAACCCGGTGATAGTCACTCACTAGATAGCTTGGCGCGAATGCAAATGTTTGAAATCGGAGTGCTCCTTATGTGAATCGAAGTGTTTTCTTACCTAGAACATGCTTGGTTTCGCCGTGAACGTCTGCCTCAATGCGCACCTCATTAACGTATGCGGAGTTCGGAGAGCATGCGTGCTGAGGTTCGAAATGATTCTCTCTTCAGCAATCCGAAAAATTCACTTTTTTTCTGAACTATTACCACCTCCAGGCATGGCGCACCGCATCCCGGAAAATTCATCTCCCAGGTCGATCCAATGGTCCAGATTGTAACTTCGTAACCTCCTGAACCTCTGTAGCTTGCGGGTTAGAACCTCCTTTGAGTAAAGTGAAAAGGTCGAAATTTTGGCGTGGAAAGGGCATTGAAGCGAGGAAACACATGAAGAACGAGTGAACAGTTGCAACCATATCGTGTTTACATTGAAAGTGAGAACCGGAGGGGGAAACGTGATGACAAGATAACTCCAACGGTTAAATTCCTCCAGAAGCCCTGGCTGGTGCATCGAACATGTACCAAAGGCGCCGAGAAGACACGAATGAGGCGACAACACACACACACACATTCAGGTATCTCAATCACAGTTTTTCGGATTTGCTCGTCTTGCAGCAACACCTCTTGGTAGGATTCATCGTACACGGAAACCAAACTCACAATTGCAGGGTTGAGCACTTGAAGGGGTTTTCCAATATCGAGATTCTGCTTAAAAACGAAAACACGCACAAGAAGTAGGTACGTTCTTTCAAGCTCGATATCTACCGTGCGTCTACGGTATCAACATGGACACCAGCGGCTTCTGAGTAGTGGACTTTACAACTGGATCAATGCCAGGAATGTTCACGGTGTGGAACCGCACCACGGGTTTTCGTTTCTCGACATTTTCACGGTGCGGTGCGGTGCGGTGCGGTGCGGTGCGGTGCGGTGCGGTGCGGTGCGGCTTTATCATGTCACGGTGCGGTGCGGTGCGGTTTTATCATCTCCAAATTCGACAGTGCGGTGCGGTGTGGCTTTTTCGACTCCATATTTGACGGTGCGGTGCGGTTCACCGTCTCACGTTTTTTTGTTTCGGTGCGGTTTGTCTACCCCGTAATAAAAACCGCGCTAACCGCGGCCTTGGCGGTGGTACACCGTCGAAGAACACCGCGGTCAATACTACGGTTGTCTGTGACAAAAATGACGGGGTCTCCACGATATTTATTTACGTTAGATTAAGTCCATCGAAATGAGGCCGCCACGACAAATCGCGCGGCTTGCGGTCAGAAAACCTGAAACCCCTAGACAACAAAGAAGCCACAGATCATTTACACCGTTTTTCCAGTCAATATACGTTCCTACAACACGCATCAACAGCAGCTACACTCCTCACATGCTTCTAGTATTCATACCGTTGTTGGAATATGCCAGCAAAAAATAAAGAAAAACTTCGGCAGCACCACCAGGTGGCTCATGCTCGCCACTGGCTACAACCAGATGACGGTGTGCGTGTGTGTGGTGTGGCGACACGGTGTTTCGTGCGTACTGGTTTAAAGAAAGAAAAAATAACATCGTTCAACGTTCCTGGTGTGCGTCTGCACGACAAAACCTCGCCTCATCTGCTGTTTTCACGGGGGTTTACTGCGGGTTTGGCTACGGGGTAGGAAAAACCGTACTGTGATAAAACCATAACTACGGTTATTTGTGAATCCTTACGGCACGGCACGGTGCGGTACGGTGCGGTGTGGCTTTTCATCTCGAAAGGTGACGGCGCGGTGCGGTGCGGTGTTGTGCAGCTCCATATTTGACGGTGCGGTGCGGTGCGGTTAAACAACAGGCGCACCGCACCGCACC